GGTTTTGGTCTCATTCTGGTTGACTTCAGCTTCAGTTAGTCATGACATCACTTGCATTTCCAGTGATGCTACCACCACACTGCAGCATTAAAAACTGATAAACTAACAATTAAGGACCAGCAAATCTCAGGGTACTAAAGGTTATTTCATCATAAGGTAAGATTAAAATGGCAGTATCTAAAACTAAGCAGTAATTGCTTGAAAATGTTATTATACTTTTGTTTTTTTCATATACAGCAGGTAGAACAGCTGAGGGCAGTGCCAAGCCCAGACAGCTCCTGCAAGTGGTTTACTCCCTAGGGAGGCTCAAATAGGTCTTCCATGCAAAAGAGCCAGATTTAGTGCTGGAGATTCCCCCTTTTCCAGGACCAGTTCCTCCAAAATGGCTATTTATAGCCAGATCACAATCTAGTCTTTGAAATATTGAGATTTACAAGCAAGGAGTACTCCAATATTAGGATCATAAGTACTTTTTCTAGCTGTTCTGTAGTGCTACTCTATATGTGCATTTTGCTCTCGTTTTTCAGCTGTTCTCCATACTACCTAACACAGCACTGCTGTCAATACTCATTAGGAACTGACATATAAAGCTGCCTCGGCTGATGGGTTTAATAGCTTTCCTCACTGCATTTATCCTTTATCCTTCTTCCAATCTCTGGATTTATTATCACTACTAATTACCCATTGTCTTGGGTTGATTTGTTTGCTGGACAAAGGTAATTCAGTAACACTGTTTACAACCTACATCCCTTCAGGTGCAGTGAGCTGCACTGCAAAATCTGTAATAAGCAGCCTGAGGGGAAAAAAAATACCCCTGTTTTTCACCTCTTTTCTCTAATCAGGACAGATAACAACTTCATCTCCTTTCTCTTTACTTATCCTGCTCAATACCTCCTGTAAATCGGGTTATCGCGTAGTTCAGCACCTTCTAGAGTGAGTTAGAGATTAGCTGCTGCCCAGCAGAGTAACATAAAACACTTAGCACTCCCACACCTTTTGCTTTGGCCCTGTGCTGTACAGCGCTCTGCCAGATCAAATGTGGCATGTCACGCCATGAAAAACAGATGGAAGGATCCTTTAAATACTTTTCCAGCTACTAGACCATTAGAGCTACAGAACAAACGCAGCAATGCACACAGGCCAGCCTTTTCAAAGCTGCCTAATGCATTCAGCTCACCAACTCCCCAGTACTACAAACAGAAATCAAGTGCCCAGCTTCCTACTTACTTTCAAATATCTCAGCATACACATGCAGCTACATGTTACCTTCCGAAAGTTAACCTCACAAGAATGGCTTATTTTCAGTATGGTTATGATTTTTCCCCTTGTTTGTAGCCTGCTGGGTGTGAGGGCAGTTCATAAAAGCATTCAAGAACAGGGTCTTGCCCTAAGGATTTTGCTTTCTAATCCTTACAGACAATACACCCAAAACGATGACTCCAATTAGAAAAGCTTGTGTACACAGCAATTGGTGAAGCAACAATCAATCATGGTAGCTCTGCTGAAGCCAGTGGTGTTAATTTATAATAGCTCTGGGAAGTAGACAGAAGACTTAAATGATCTTTATTTTAAATATTGCTAGCTTTTTGCTTTTCTGTCCTATACTGATGCTACTTTTTTTTTCTGTTCATAGTTTACCCAACTACTAGAGGTAACAGTAATTTTCCTTACTGAGCAGTCAGCAGTAAGTGTAATTCATCTTTATTTTGGGGGCCCAGAAATCCTTCCCAATGGTAGGAATGCAGTGCAATACTTTCTTCCCCCTTCTCTATTTCTTCAGCTCTTCTATCAAGATTCTCCCATTCATATTAGTGTTGGTAATATATGGCAAACCCAAAACCCCTTCCATCAGAGGAAGTCAAAGTCTTTTAGGAACAGGACTGAAACAGCCTTCCCACTCTTGAGAGCGATGTGACCAACCGTTCGCATTTTCCATGTTGCACATAGAAAACGCCTGTAAAGACTTACCAGAGGTGATGCAGCAGGACAGGAACAGGCCTGTGAACAGAACCTATATCCTATAACCTATCAGTATTGTTTGAACTGCTTTCACAATAGCCCTGTGCTGACTAGATGCAAGAAAGGAAGATCTGCGTTTATTCAGACAGTGTTCCCACTGCGTTAATGTACTACCATGCATAATTTGCTTCACTCCCTGTCATATTAGTCATTCTCTTTGACTTTACTGGTGTTCTTGGGCTGATAAATTTATAGATACAGTAATAGGATTCTGAATTAAGACACAATTTAAGAACACAGTTTCAATTGCAATGATTTGTGGATATGAGGTCATTCAGACCTGTCTACTTTCGTTTTGCCAGAGAAGATTTGTAGCTATTATTCCCCCCACCCCAAAGCAACGATCACATGCTGTTTGCTTCAGCACTGGATGTTGCAATACCTCAATGAATAATATACAAGAAGCAGAAAATAAACAAAGCCACTATGCCTGGGGCTACTGTGTGGTGTGTTTTTCTTTAGGATGATTAAATGTGAATGCATGTCATAGGATGTCGGGATTGCTCTGCCGGGAACCCATGAGTATGAGAGCATACAGCCCTCTATCTACCCAGGCAAGTGGCCACAGAGAAGGTTAAAGGAGCCCCTAGGCAGACCCAACATATGCACTGGCTCCTCCCCAGCTGCTCTATTCTCTTGGCTTTTTTTTTCCTGTAAGATACAGGCACTTCATAGATTTCCTGGGTCAAATTCTACATTCTTTCACACCTAGGAAGTTTCACCGAAGACAACAGATTTCCACCACAGAAGCAGGAAGCTGAACTTGGCTTTGACCAGCCTTTCACCAGCACTCTGCCACTAAAACCACAAAAGAAACCTTCAAGGTTGACAGAACAGTTCATGCCTCAGGGTACAGTCCCACATGACATTCTCCAGTGGGTATTAGCTGTCCCTTCCCATTGCAGTGTCAGGAAAACCATTAAAACCATTTCCTTTTCTTTTACATGGAATTACCCTCTGTACACCTTAAGCAAAGCCTCCATCTGATGCCTTAACAACTACACAGATCAGCATCTTTGGTAGATACAAGAGACTAACATGCCTGCAGGATAAAGTTTTCAAAACCAGGATTGCTTAGGAATATCTCCCATTGCTCTTCTTGCCTTTAGTGGTGAAGAGGAGAAAGCATACTGAACAGTGCTGATTTTTACAACATGCATCAGCCCTATACTACATCTCAAGACAACGATCACCTGCCCATCCCCACTGGAAGCAAGCAAAAGCCATTTAAAAAAAAAGTCTTGGTCTCTTCAGCCTCTTGTATTCTTGTGTCTGTTTCAAAGTAATTTTAAGGAAAAATGCAAATCCTCTTTCCACCAGAAGGGTGTTTCAGCAAGAGAACATGGCTTGAGCTCTGCATTTGTGGTAACACAGAACAACCAATATACCAACAAATGTCAGACTATTCACTTCAAATAAATCAGTCACCTGTTCTCAAAACCAAAGCCAATCCATTTTGTCCATAACAGCAAGTCACACAGGCAACTACTGACGTCCTACATTACTCTCTCTATTGCACCTCTCAGCATGCAAATGATATCCTTCCCTAGGCAGTCAGATTCATTTCTGAGAAAAGAAATACATCACCAGATTTCAACAAGCTTGTTTATCTTCAACTCACTTTTCAGGAAAATAAAGACTGTGACACAGAGCTTCAAAGGGTGATCCCCTCTCCCATCCATCCAGCAAACACCCAGTTCATTGCCTTTGGATTTCTTCTTTCACCACAGCTATGCTTGTTATGTGGAAAAGTATTCTGTTTCTGCTACTTTGTGAAAAAGGATTTTCAATAGAAGATAAGCAACAGCATCAGAAAAGACTTCTATAAGGGAGGTTTCAGTCAGTAAACAGGTGTCTGGGAGATTATCTCACCAACTTAACCAGAGCTGCAAACATCAGAATGATTCTGGGATGACTAAAACCCCCCTTTTTTAAAATAAAAGCCTTTTATCTGCCAAGCAACACTTCCTGTTCTAAAGGCTATTCTCCTCGGTAGTTGTCAACTATGTATTAATCTAATTCATATAAGCTTTAGAAATAAATACTTTCATGTGCAGAATCTTTTGGGAAACTCTGATTCCCTGGGGCTTTAAAAAGCAATTGTTGCTCATCACCGTGGAAATTTCCCTTGAATTTAAAGCCTGGTAACAAGGGGAAAAAAGATACATCAAATATTTCAGTGATTAACGAGTTTCCCAGTCTTTGTCATCCTCAAAGGATTTTCAGCTGATCTGTAGGGAA